CTTTTTTTTTTATTTTATTATTTTATTATAATCACAACAGTTAAAGGTAAAAAACAACAATAACTCATTGTACATAGAGCATCACAATGGAGTTTGTGAGCTTCCTGCAGTCTTTCTATTTTCTCCTCTCGTATTTTCTTCTAATAGAAAGCTATTATTATCATCGATATCAGACCGCAAGTACCTGTTACTGCTGCAATACTTAGCAATATTAATTTACTATGTGTTACGAATTATTGAGCTTCCCATTTGCTTGCTTCGCATATTGGGTTAAAGATACCATCATTTGCGAATTTGGGATTATTTGTTGCCACTCGCTGTATTTTTCTGTGACCTAGATCGAAACAATTTCAATAGATTTATTATCAATAAGTATATTATAATTAAGTCGAGTTGCTCATTTCAAAAGTGCATATAAAAAATTTCGATAATTATTTGAAAGTGGGGTCAACTCCATTTTGGGCTTTAACAAAGTGAAAAATTAACATTTTTTAATTTTTTTTTTAAATAACTTTTTTTTCATATACTTCTTTTTGGCTTCGATAAAAAAAATGTTTATTTTTTAACCTTTCGATTTAAAAATGTAATATTTTGATCTTCGGGCTATGAAAATTATAAATTAAAGAAATGATTGATTGTATTTAAATAAAAAAAAAAAAAATGAAGCTTCAATTAAATTTCGAAGTTTCGGCATAAAAAAATAATGCAACAAAAAAATTTATTTTTTATACACTCAGTAAATTTTTACAGTCCTCACATTCTTAAGATTATTGGACGAAAAAAAGTTTGTATACCCCTTATGACAAGTCTTTAGACTGCATTTGAATCTTCTCTATTTCTAGATATATAATTAAGAAATGACCTTGTATCTTGTGATCTACTAACATTTTTTAAGATATAAGCTTACCCCGACATTACACTTATTGAGACCTTTCATTTGAGTACCCATATCAATTTTTCATACATATATATATGTGTGTGTGTGTGTGAAACATATACCTAAATGCATGTTGATACTCAAATTAAAGCTCTTGATGGATATAACATCGGGATGAGCTTATATCTTTAAAAACGTCAATTGTTAGATAAGTACTGTACAATTCAACAAAAGTCATTGTTCAATGAGGTAAAATTTTATTTATTTATAGTTCACAAGTCACGGCAGTCACACAGTAAAGGTGTAACCTCATGCTGACGCTTGACGCTGACTTCCAGCGTCAAATTAGATCACGTGGTCATTTTAGGCCGTGCTGCCACCTAGAAAAAACCTTTCCAGCGTTAAATAGTAAAAAGCTAAACTTGGTTTAGCTTTTTATGCTGAGGCCGTAGCGTCAATTTAAACATAATATTATCGAACTCGAAAATAATCGATTTTGACAAAGTTTAAAAGCTAAATTATTTATTTATCTGTTAAATAAATGTTTGTTTGAATATTGATTGAATAAATATAAAATTTAATTTTAAAAGGTAATTGAAATGGCACTGTTTGAAGATTTCGAGGATGTAAGTATTAAATAATATGAAATGGAAACAATAAATATGGGAAAAATATTTGGATAAAGTTTGATTAGGTTACTTTTTATATAAAAATAGTATTCAATTATTTTATTTTTATATTTAGGAAATGAGAGTTGTTTTTACGTGTGGTATGTGCGAGACAATCTGTGAAAAATATGAAGATCACGATTGCTTGAAAAAATATGCGCATCATTACATCGACAGTAATTATTATTGCTATCCGTTATTAGGTTAGTATCTGAATTTTTCAAAATAACTTACGTCACTAAAGTTAGCAGACATTTAACAGTTTTTAAAAAATTTTTCCATCAAAGAAATTGCTATAAAAATTTCTTTTTTAAATTCCATATGAAGAAATTTTCAGAATTCATTGGTGCAAGTTGTTTTTTTTATTGTTCCCGTAGAAATTTATTGAAAAAAGTATTCAAAAAATTGTCAGACGTCTGCTAATTTCAGTGACATAATAACTTAATATTCTAACAATGACAAAATATTAACTGTATTGATTTATGCTAAAAAGACGACAAAGTAACAATTATTCGACGCGCATTATTGGATAATGGTCGAGAAGGGTTAATAAAGGAAAAAATTAATTCAGCTAATAAAGAAAACGAGAGCTGTATTATTTTCAATGAGACTTCTGATGATGTAAGTATATTGACGAAGATTAAAACATATTTTTATTTCAATTTTCGACTCTTTAAGAAAGACTGTCTTAACCCCATGTTTCGTTATTTATTTAATGTATGTTAACCAATAATATAATTATTGTATAATATAACCGTTAAGAAGAATTGATTAACAAAGTACGTTTTTCAGCCTCCGGTGTCCAAGTCTCAACAGAAAAGTAAAACAAACAATAAGACTAAGGTACAACAACAAAACACCAAAAGACAAAACAAAGCAAGCAATTAAGTGAAATTGAGGTCGAGTTTTTATTAAATGAAGTGCAAAAAAGATCTCCACTTTGGGACCACACTATTTCACTCACTGAAAGAAACCGAGAAAAAATTCCAGTATTATGGGCAGAAGTTTCGAGGGCATTAAAAGGTTAGATAATAATTGAATTTGTAAGGCTTTTTTTACACTACATTATTAGTTTTTTTAACACATTAAAAATTGATATTGATAGGTAAATTAGATGCTAATGAATGTAAGAAAAAATTTAAGTCTGTCCGAGATACGTATCGCCGCCTAGTACAAAATGAAAACCAACCAAGTGGTTCAGCAAGGGCTGAGTCCACCCGTGAATGGAAATATTATAGATGCTGCGAGTTTCTTCGCGACGTTTGTTTAATTCGATCGTAAGTGTAGTCTTGTATATAATATTTTTAGTTGTGAGTTTCATGCTATGGTATAATAACAGCTGTATAGGAATAAAATATAAAAACATAATTTCCAATGTTACAGAACTGGCACAAATGTGGATGGAGATAATAATTATCATAAAGAGTTAGGTTCTGATAATGATGATCCATCAAATAGTCTCGATGAAACTTTTGAGGAGAGAACCAGCCACAGTTAATAATTACAATCAAATTTCATGAAACTAAAACCTATATGAAAATTTAACAAAATTAAAATAAACAATTAAAAAATGTTGTAGAATCTGTAAGCCAAAAAGGGAAGAAACGTCCACATCCAGATATTACGGATTCCATAAACGCAATAAATCGAATTGCTGATGTTATAAGTAAAGACGAAACCCCGGTGAGATTACCAGAGCCTCCGAAGTTAGATCAAGTTGGTGGATTTCTCATCGGTATCGGTCATCAGTTAAGACAGCTGCCAGATGATATTCAATTGCAAACTGTTATTGAAATTTTACAATTAATAAAAGAAAAGAAGTAAAAAAAAACCTGTCCAAAGTATCTACCTGAAATTAAATTTAAGAAATGTTATAACATTAAAGATTTATAATAATTATAAGTATTATTATATAAAAAATGTTAACGTATGTAAAAGTTTCAATAATACTAAGTACTTAATGGTAATAAATCTTTTATACAAAGTTTCGTTTTTTACATTTGGTCAAAATTTTAAAAAATGCTTCATTGATTTACATTTAATGATTGAATAATATAAAAATATTTACAAATGTTGGATTATAAGACACTATATATAACGTACATGAATGATTCGGTAGCAATTGTATATTTAATGCGTGATTTTTCTTGAAACGTATGATACAATTGTTGTACAATTTTAATTACGGCCATACTGCCACGGGACAGCCCCTTCGGCATTGAAATATTCACAAAAATCTTCTCGAATAGCTATAGCAGATCGACTACTACAATTATTACCATGGACTGGTCTATCTTTCAGAGCAGAATTATGAGCTTCATGTCTCCAAGATCCTGGAATTATACCATTGGGCCCTTCTTGATCAACTAGGTTCGGTGGAATATAAATATCATCTTCGTCGTGCTTGCGGAGCCAATTATGTAGACATATAATCGCTTGAATCATACTAATAGTGTTTTCAACTGTAGCATCAATTGGTTTTTTTAGGATCCTCCATAAACTTACTATGATACCAAATGAATTTTCAATAGTTCTTCGAGCTCGACTGAGACGATAATTATAAATACTTCTTTCGCTATTAAGACCACTTCTACCAGGATAAGGTCGAAGTAAATAATTAGTCAACTGGAATGCCTGATCTCCTACAAGAACATAAGGTTGGGGTACCCCATCCACAGTTAACAGATCTGGTTTCGGTATATTCATTTGGTTATTTTGAAATTTCCGACCCATTGCTGAATCTCGAAAAATCCCACCATCACTTCTTCTGCCGTAAGCTCCTACATCAATGAAAGTGAATAAATAATTAGCATCACAAATAGCCATCAGTACAATACTATGACTATTTTTATAGTTGTAGTATGAAGAACCTGCATTGTCAGGACACTGCAATAATAATAGTCATGATTTCATTTGGTTAACATTTAAATATTGAACTAATGATTTTATGTGAAATCAAATATACCTGGATGTGTATATGTTTCCCATCGATAGCTCCAATACAATGTGGAAATTGCCATTGCTTTTCAAATTCGTTTGAAATTTTTAACCAATCTGCTTCATTTAAAGGATATGGTAACACTTTTTCTGTAAGACAGCTCCAAAGAGCTTCACATGTTTCAGTGATTATATTTGCTGTTGTCGTTAGCCCAACCAAATATTGGTACGATATTGATGACATACAGTCACCAGTAGCTAAAAACCTAAACAGTAATTATTATTATAATTTATAATACAGTTCAAATTGTTGTGATGAAGTTATATATAATATCGAAAAATTCTACCGTAAAGTCATAGCCAATCGTGCTGGAGCTGAAATAGGTTCTCTTATTACTTTTTGTTTTGAAATTTTCGGGCCAACTAGATACAAGAGCTGCTCAAATTGTACAGCTGTCATTCGAATATAATTTTCAATTTTTTCAGAGTATGAAGAAAGAGTTGGGAAGACAGCTTCGAAAAATCCATGCTCTCGTCGTAATTTAAATAAAGGATGGATCCAAAATTTCTTCGGTGTATATTTTCTTTTACATATCTGGATAACCATTTCGTTGCATAATAAAGCACATATAATCCTTTTACGCCTGATTTTTTTTTTTATTTGCGCTTGATGAATTATTTTTTGACACTTGTATATCCATAATTGATAATCATATTCACTAGCCATCGGAATTTAGATCGGTAATTTCAATTCAATAGAATTACGAATTTTTAATATCTATTATCGTATGTAATGTTTATTTATTATTACCATGTTTTTTAGCTCAATTTTTGGTTAAGTTAACGTACTAATTTTGATTTTAGTCTTGACATTTCGAGATATCGACTTTCGATATTAATTATGATTTTGTCGCACATTTCTATAATTTAACGCTGGAATTTGACGATGGGAATGTTTGTATTAATTCCAGCTAGGTGGAGCTCTAATTTGACGCTAAAGTCTAGCGTCAAGCGTCACCATGAGGTTACAACTTAATTGCAAGGTTGAGTTCCCTGAACCTGGCGGCTGAAAAATGATTTTTACTATTTTTTTATAAACAAATCGTTTGTTCGTCGTTTGTTCTTATTTGTTCGTCAAAAATTATTATTTGTTCGATTAATGTTTATTTTTAAAAAATTAATTAAATTTACTCTTATAAGTTGGCGCAACATATTCCAAATCTAGATTTTTTTTTTTTAATCGATAGCTTTTTTTTTTATTATTTGTTCGATTAATTAAATTATTTGTTCGATTGTTTTTATCTTTTTATTTAATTTTTTTTAGAAATAATTCACAGATTTTTAATTATAAGCGCGCATGCGAATCAAAGTTGTGATACATATAGCGCCATCTGTCCTAATTTACCTTTTTTTATCAAGGTATAAGAAATATATGCCATAGGAATCGTAAGTTATCAGAATTGTAGGCAATCGGATTTCAGTGTCATCGGAATTATATCCTTTAACATTTCTCGGCAATCGGATTCTAAGTCATCGGAATTCTAGGTAATTGGTAATCTACCTCATCGGAATTCTACAGGTGCGTTCCACTTGACGTTCACGACGACCGCGCTACGTGTATTGCGATAGGATTTTGGTCGTTGTGAACGTCAAGTGGAACGCACCTTACGACATTGATAATTTGGGTAATCGGATTCTGGGTTATAGGAATCTAGGTAATCGGAATCTAAGTCACCGGTTATCTGTCTAATTGATTTCTAGGAAATAGAGTTCTTCCCAGCCTTTGCAATGTACATTCAGTACATTACAAATTCCAACTATGGAGGGTGGTAGAGGTACCTCTACCCTCCATAATATTCCAACATAAGTTTACATGACGCCACGGGCGCATGCGCAACATATTTCTATCATGTTGTATAGCCCAAAATTGGCTATATAGTAAATTTATTGAGTTCTTTTTTAATTCGCCCGTTGGAACGCGGTAGGGCGTTCAACTCGCAGTAAATAGATTAAGGCGGGAGAATAGATTTAAATTCGGATAAGTTGAATTAAATAATATATATATACATATATAATAAATTTAATATACTCAGATTATTTTAGTTTAATTTAGATTTGCCTTGCGCGCAAATCTATTATTTATTATTCAATGAATTACAAAATAAAAAGTACCGACAATAATTCCGAAAAAGAAAATATTCGCGTGGCGTACTTAAGTCTTGCTTATTGATAAGTGTCTTCTTGTTTTCCGTTGTCCGACTCCCCTGGTTGAGATGTTCGTACCTTTGGAGTGGGAGAGGCCCAGAGGGTAGTGAGGGTAGTTGCGCGCGCCTCTACAACTCTCATCTTCGGCTAGCATCCCTTCTCGAGTTGGCAAAATGGGACCATGTTGAAATGACGTCACGACAACCCTCGATGCTCCCAGGTCATTTGCAGCCCGCCTGGATGTCTGGTTTTTATGACCTAGCCCTAGGTACTCGAGTAATCCCTTTTTTAGCGAACGTTTTAGAAAATAAGCTTCTTAAAAGATTATGACAATAAAAATGAATAAATAAAGATCTCTGGGTTTTCTCTAGTTTCGTAAAGAATTTTCCAAAACGTTCGGTATCTTATTCTAAGTGACCATTACAATTACAAGCGTAAGTTTATTTTAACAAGGAAATTTTTCTCAGAATGTCTAGACTAACTGCACGGCACTTAAAAGTTTTTATGTTTTCCCTTGGGAGTTTCCGGTAATTATAAATTCGTCTGTACCCTAAAATTTATGATAGAAAAATTCCCATACTTGACAATAGAATTTAAAATAGAAAGGTTTACGACATTTGAAAGATTCTTATTTCTCTTACTAATACTATTACAAATAAATACATATTTTAAATCTTACTGGGTTTTTCCCGCTATCATTCATTGCAGCCATCTTTTTATACGTAATTCTATGTTAATATACAGAGAGCGTTGTGATCAATCCTTTCGGATTCACAACAATCATGATATGACAATTTTGGATTAAAGTATCGAATAATTAATAATTAGACTATTTTGATGGTCGAACAATCATCAATAGTAATCGAACAAACAATAATGAATAAAAATTGGTTAAATTACTAAATAAAAACTTTTATTTTCGATACGGGGGGCCAACTACAAAGGAAAAATTTGTTTAATTATTTATAAATAAATAAACAACGAACAAACAATTTTAATATTCGAACAATCACGAACTAACGACGAACAAACAATTAAAATGAAATAAAAATTTTTATTCGAAAAAAAAAATTAAAGTGGGGCTAAATTCACTGAGCCGCTTCGTGGTAGGGGTAATAGTGTTTTACGGCAATTAAGTGAAGTGAGAAGAGCCAACCTGAGCCAACCTCTCGTTACGCCGATTATACTCGTCATACGTCGTTGTAGAACATAGAACTTTACTGAAGAAATGAATTTAAAAATTCAATTTTCCGCATCTTTGTGCCTGTTCTTGATATTATCAGGAAGCACGCCAATTTCTTCGCAAACAATCCCAACAGCTGTTATTGATATCGCCAAATACGGATGGAAGGCAATTCAAGCACTTATTGCGATTAAATCATCAATAAATAATCATAACTTTCAGCAAGATGTAATAAGCGCATTGGATGAAATTCGTGCAAGTAACGTAAAAACAGAATATTTAATAACAACTGAAGCTGACCGTATAATCAATGTACTTTCTGTTAAAATTGATACTGAGGTAGTTAAAGATTTCATTCATATCGTATACAAAATAAATACGCGGTTTGAAAAACAATTTTTGAGATATTTTACTGGAAACAATACATATGAGAATCAAACTATTGATCATTACATAAGCACAACAATTAATCCTAATCAGTTTAAAAAAACTTTATCTTTGATAAAAGAATACACTGTACCTTATGGTGATAATCCCACAGAAAATAAACAAGTATTCGAAGTGCTAGACGAATATATAAAATTGAGAGTAAGTATTGTATCTGATCTAAATTAGAAAATTGAACTTGCGATGATATATTCAGTAATTTTTTATTATTATTTAAGAAAATAATTAATCTTAAAAAATTCATCTGATAATTCAAAACCATATTTGAATTCAAAATGTTGTAAGGTCAATTTTTCAATTTGGGAATATAAAAAATAGTATTCATAGTAGTTTTTTAATATTTTCTATTTAAAAATTATTTGTATTTATCAACCACAGAATAGGTATTACATTGATTGCAAAAAATACAGCGCTGACTGTATAAATGGAAAATCGGGTTATGATTTAATATTTAATGTATTCAATCTCGCAATAACTTCAATTTCTAAAGGATATACTATGGTAGTGCATGCTTACAAATATCTCCAATCAAATTCGACGGACCCTAGTAAGTATTAATAAATTTCGTAGAGTAATACATTTTTCATTTTAACCCTTAATGATTTCATCAGATGCATGGCATTCAGAATTACATGACGCTTTGGATGAATATAAAGAGACTGTGTTAATCATAGCTAACGCCGCAAAGACTGTTGCGCGAATACAATCTAAAGCAATTCTTCGTTACGATCCTATTCATTTTAAACAAGGTTCTATTTATTTTATTGGTTATTTTCATAAATATTTGTTAAATTTATATTAAAATATTAATTTTCAATGTTTTATATTCAGAGGAAAATTATGACAGTTTGCAGTTCTTAACAACATTTATTACTGATCCACGGTTACTGAACAATAAACAATGGTTTCTTGATCGAGTGCCTCCTGGCGAACGTATAGCAGTATTTTGCGATGCATCAGCTATTTACGACTGTATTGATGATAATTCTATCGCACGCGCTTGTGTTGAGGTAATAATCTTTGATTATAAATCATTAAAAAAGAATACATTCAACTTCAATACTTTCATAATTAATTTTTAATACTTTGTTTTAGCCACCATATAGTAAAAGACGTTACACGTGTGCGATCGAAATCGGTGGCTTCAAGCAATATTATAAAGGTCGTTGCGCGAAAAATGGGTCGTGCATGAGAGATTGGGGTGTGGAGTTGAATATTGATATTGGATTTACACACTTCAAAAGATGTATATGCGAAGAGGATCGTTTAACTAAAAAGGGTGCCCATTTCAACATGTCATCACAATACTCTGATTTCTTTAATACCAATCGGTAATTTAGTTAAAATATTATGCCTTTTAGAATTTCACTCGTTTCAATCAATTAACTAGAAATTCACTAAAAATAGTGAATATATTTTGTTATCCAGTGAAAAGTTAATTACCAATTCTGAACAGTAATATACTTTTTACTAGAAAATAGTTGATATTTACTGATATTACATGTTTAAATTGAGAGAATATGGAATTTGTATAACTAACAAATTTATTATAATTTCTAGAGTTATCACAGGAATCCGTTTAGTTACAAAAATGTCACTAACATACTTTGAAATACAACACGGAGTACTTGTTAATGGTACTATTGATAATACTACTGTCAGCTGGGATGATCGCGTTTCTAAAAAGCTTGATTATATGCATAAACATAGTATACTACCTTCTTATATCGGTAGTAATTTACATACACTCAGTTATTCTAATAGACATTTGAATTTGGACGACATTATTTTACCCGAAGGATGGGTTACCGTCGGTAAGAAACAATAAACGATTTTCAGGTTTTGCTTTGCCGTCCGTGGGTTTAAAAGAGGCAGTAAATATTATTTTATAATTATAGGTGTGCAATTTCACTTATCACCAGAAAATCATTTATCATTTGAAGTAGCAGGAATAAAAATATTTGATGACTTAGGAATTTTTTCCATGTCTTACGAACCTCATTGGTTTAAACCAAAATACTCTGAAAGGTAAATTTGCTTAATATATTGATAACTGATTAACGCACGTTTTAGATTAACAGAATTAAATGTTGATGTAACGTTTGTGATGCAGAACGGAATTGACTAAAAAAAATCAAGATATTCCAACATTTAGTAATGAGGTAAACCAAGAATTAGGGAGTCTTGGAAAAAATTATGTTAAATTCCAGATGACCGATTGGTCGATTGATGCCAGTCAGACAGTTTATCCTTTTATTGATATGCAACAAGTTTTTACTGATCCTCCAGCACCCGTCGGAGGAATTGGATTATATTATAAAAGTCAGTCGGGATTCGGAGGATTCATCGCACCAAAACTTATAAGCATGAATACGAATATTTTTATGAGTTATGATTATTTAAATAATATTTTTAAAATTAATAATTCAAGCAACTATCTAAAGTATAATACTAATGATATTGATGAAAGTTAAAATACGAGCACAGAATATATATATTGTAATATTTTTTATAAAGAATAAATATGTCAAATTTTATTTCCTGTAACTATAAAAATCGATAATCTAAGTATTATTATTATTATAAACTGTACAAGTTGCAAAACACAAAATATTTTTATTATCTATTATTTTACAAGATTTTAAGTAGATTTCATAAAATCTATCTATTGCATTATTCCATATGTAAAAATTCACACAAAATTTTATAAAATAATAATGATGGTGGTGGTGGTGGTGTCGGTGGTGGTGGTGGCAACAACAACAACAACAACAACAACAACAACAACAACAACAAAAACAACAATAACAGCAACAACAACAACAATAATAATAATAATAATAATAATAATAAGATATATTTACTATCGTAAGATAGACTGTGAAATAAAAATGTTATGATGTATCGCGGAAGAATGTAAATCCGAACAAAAACAGTTTCACTGTAAAGAAAGCGCCAAGTTCAAGTCCATAAGGTTGTCACGAAAGATAAATTATGTTTTATTCTTAACAAAAATAAATGAAAGTTGATTATGGAAAAAAAAATAAAACTTTACAAAAAGTTATGAAATTCAAGTACAAAAAAAACCAAGTAATGATTTTTTGACAATTTAATATTGAAAAAATTAATTTGGAAAACACTCATAAGTGATGCAAATAAAACCATTATTATTATAAATATTATTGAAAAAATTTTGGTGCGACCTTAAAACTTAAAAAAAAAATTTTTTTTATCGGACTTGGCGTGCGTCCTTGAGTACCCCAAATTTTTTCGGATGTATTGCCAAGCAATTTCTCAGTACCGTTTTTATCTATTTCCCTATATGTTGTTTATTTTGGCTGGGAGATCTAATTATATATAGGTCCATATATAACTATATCTGGGTCTATATAGATCAGGTCTGATCAGATCTAATTATATATAGGTCTATATATAACTATATGTGGGTTTATATAGATTAGGTCCGATCAGATGTAATTATATATAGGTCCATATATAATCGTATATAGTTATATATAAATTTAGATATAATCATATATAATTATATATGATCAGGCAAAATCATTTTTTCCCGGGAAGTCTCTGATTATGCTTATAAATGTTTTACCCAAAAACACGACAATGCTATAGCATTATCTTATACATTTCCGAAGGTGTATTTAAGGTTCTTCTGATACATCATGAGTAATCACTGAGAGGGTAAAAACTATTTTCATAAAAGCGCATATAACTCTTAAAATATTGATTTTAGAGAAAATTTATGAGACTTCGAAATCGTAGATTATGCAAATTCGGACAAAAAAACCTTGATCAATCAGATGCTATCGTCGATATTTTAGGAGATAAAGTGATTTAAATCTTAGAACGAAACTTTACCAGTTTTCTCATCTTATTAAAGACGTGTCCGTATACAAGTAGTCCATGCTCCAAAAATATTGATTGTAGAGCAAAATCTAAGCCGATCAAAAGGCACATGGAATTTTTATCCAGAAGCAACATCATACTAAGGAGCTTTCTTTAATATTTAGGTTGTTATAGTGACTTGAAGAATCAGAACGAACTGCACTTTATGATTTATTATCAAAACGGGTTTGGCTGTACAAGTAAATATAACGTTGTAATTCTAATTTCTAGTGCAGAATTTTACCAAGTCTCTGATTAAGCTTATAAATGTTTTACCAAAAAACACGACAATACTATAGCATTATCTTATACATTTCCGAAGGTGTATTTAAGGTTTTCCCGGGAAAAAATGATCACCACATGAATTTTCTGTTCTAACCTTTATAAAATTAAATCTGAAGGGGATATCTCTTAGGAAATTTATTAAGGAACACTGTGGAACTATAAAAAAGGCTCTAGAGTCATTATTTGAAGAGTTACAGCCGTTTAAAGATTTAAAAATCGAGAAACCATGGCCCAACATTAATTTTCTGTTCTAACCTTTTTAAAATTAAATCTGAGGGGGATATCTTTTAGGAAATTTAGTAAGGAACACTGTGGAACTATTAAAAAGGCTCTAAAGTCCTTATTTAAGATGTTACAGCCGTTTAAAGATGTAAAAATCAAGAAACCATGACCCCACATGAATTTTCTGTTCTAACCTTTTTAAAATTAAATCTGAAGGGGATATCTCTTAGGAAATTTACTGAGGAACACTGTAAAACTATTAAAGAGGCTCTCAAGTCATTATTTGAAGAGTTACAGCCATTTAAAGATTTAAGAATCAAGAAACCATGACCCCACTTGAATTTTCTGTTCTAACCTTTATAAACATAATCTGAAGGGGATATCTCTTAGGAAATTTACTGAGGAACACTGTGGATCTATTAAAAAGGCTCTAAAGTAATTATTTGAGGAGTTACAGCCGTTTAAAGATTTAAAAATCGAGAAACCATGACCCCACATTAATTTTCTGTTTTAACCTTTATAAAATTAAATCTGAAGGGAATATCTCTCAGGAAATTCATTAAGGAACACTGTGGAACTATTAAAAAGGCTCTAAAGTCCTTATTTAAGATGTTACAGCCGTTTAAAGATGTAAAAATCAAGAAACCATGACCCCACATGAATTTTCTGTTCTAACCTTTATAAAATTAAATCTGAAGGGAATATCTCTCAGGAAATTCATTAAGGAACACTGTGGAACTATTAAAAAGGCTCTAAAGTCCTTATTTAAGATGTTACAGCCGTTTAAAGATGTAAAAATCAAGAAACCATGACCCCACATGAATTTTCTGTTCTAACCTTTATAAAATTAAATCTGAAGGGAATATCTCTCAGGAAATTCATTAAGGAACACTGTGGAACTATTAAAAAGGCTCTAAAGTCCTTATTTAAGATGTTACAGCCGTTTAAAGATGTAAAAATCAAGAAACCATGACCCCACATGAATTATTTGAGGAGTTACAGCCGTTTAAAGATTTAAAAATCGAGAAACCATGACCCCACATTAATTTTCTGTTTTAACCTTTATAAAATTAAATCTGAAGGGAATATCTCTCAGGAAATTCATTAAGGAACACTGTGGAACTATTAAAAAGGCTCTTAAGTTATTATTTAAAGAGTTACAGCCGTTTAAAGGTTTAAAAATCGAGAAATTATGACCCCACATGAATTTTCTGTTCTAACCTTTATAAAATTAAATCTGAAGGGGATATCTCTTAGGAAATTTATTAAGGAACACTGTGGAACTATGAAAAAGGCTCTAGAGTCATTATTTGAAGAGTTAAAGCCGTTTAAAGATTTAAAAATCGAGAAACCATGACCCCACATTAATTTTCTGTTCTAACCTTTATAAAATTAAATCTGAAGGGGATATCTCTTAGGAAATTCACTAAGAAACACGGTGGATTCATTAAAAAGGCTTCAAAGTTATTATTTTAAGAGTTACAGCCGTTTAAAGATTTAAAAATCCAGAAACCATGACCCCACATGAATTTTCTGTTCTAACCTTTATAAAATTAAATTTGAAGGGGATATTTCTTAGGAAATTTACTGAGGAACACTGTGGAACTATTAAAAAAGCTCTAAAGTCATTATTTGAAGAGTTACAGCCGTTTAAAGATTTAAAAATCGAGAAACCATGACCCCACATGAATTTTCTGTTCTAACCTTTATAAAATCAAATCTGAAGGGGATATCTCTTAGGAAATTTACTGAGGAACACTGTGGATCTATTAAAAAGGCTCTGAAGTCATTATTTGAAGAGTTACAGCCGTTTAAAGATTTAAAAATTAAGAAACCATGACCCTTTTACGCCATGGTTGAAATAATAATAACAATGAGTAAAAGTAATCTTCTGGTCGATTTGCAACATTATATCTGAAATGATTGATTAAATAACCTCGTAACCGTTTCTTCAAAAATAATCCTGGACGTATTTCATAATATTCACTAAGATTATTTTTTGGTTCCGTCTTAGTTGTATCATACCATTTAGCAAAATTATACAAGCATAAATGTTTTAAATCTTTAGGACGATTAGGATAATAGTCATCAATTAATGAAGGACAAAATATATCAGTTGATTCGGGGTCAGTATGTTTTAATTCTTCAATTTCTTCTTTGGTTTTTAATTTTCTATTTCTTATCATTCGGATATCTAACCATTTAATAACAGTTTCTGAATCTGTGCCGTATAGAGAAATGCCTAGCAAAGTATCAGCAGCTTCTAAAGATCCGACTTCTCTGTGAGTCAAACTACGAAACGCAATCTTCCATAAAAGCTGAGGTAAGGTTTTGGTTGAGTTAATTTCGTTAATTGTTTCTGATGCTTTAGTTATTTCTTCTTTCGTAAGATATTTTGTGAGATATCCCATCAGTATCGTAGATTTTTTTCCGATAAATTGGATATCCATATTTCCTTCCCAGACAGATAAAATAGATGGATTGTAATCATTAATATTAACTTCGTTTTCATTACGAGGAAGATCATACAGTCGGCTTTTACTTTTTAAGTTTCTACGCCCGGCTATTGAAGTAGCAGTATCACGAAGTACAAAGTTTTCAGAAACAGGCCGTGGAAATCCGAATCGACAAGCTTTACTCACTTTACCTGACTTTGGTTTTTTTGTTCGTAAGCAGTAACTATTGTGATTGTGTTGTTGATGTGTAGTTACGCGTCTGTGAAGTGTTGGTGATATCTTCCTATCTGGTAACTTACAAGTTACGTATTTCATGATAAATTCAACGACTTCTTCATTTGTGTTAATACCCAATATTGGAGCATTTTCTACCCAAAGTATTAAATGAAAATGTTGAATTCCTCTACCTTGATATTCTCGGCGCCAAAAGTAATGACTAAGTGGACCGAGAGGTTGGCTATCTGATTTGATGAAATCAAGAACAGCTTGAAATTTATTGTCAACAAATCTTGAAACTGATACTGGGTCAGCTGCAATTACTTCACTTGCAGATAGTTTGTCAAAATGTGGAGCATTAACTTCTTTTATATACTCAATTAAATCATCCCAAAGCCATTCAGCAGGACTGACAGTAAAAAACCATGTTGCGGGTCCGTAATGACGTGTCATACATGGCAAATTATTTCTAGGTTTACTCCAAAATTGTTTTGAATTTCGAAGTCGAGCAAAAAGAGTTGTTAAATTTGCTTCTAACTGACCATCTTTCAGATGTTTCAAATAACTTTCCGCTGTGTATCTTTCACGACTATTTGTAACATTTAGCGTATGATAAACACCTGCACCAAGCTGACGAATGTTAGCATCATTTAATAAAAAGAATAAATATTGTTGGTTCAGGCGAAAACGTGGATCAGCAGATTTTAACCGTGCTTTAATATACTCGAAAGTAGTAAGAGGTACATTTCTTTCTTCACATTGACCGTTTTTACCATAAGGATATAAGTCTGGAAAACATTGTAAGTCTAATGTTTTCATTCGGTTGTCTAATGCTTTTTCATTAATTTTTAACATTTGATACATATTTGTTGAAGTATCGTTCTGTCTTTTATCGTGAAGAGGATATATAGTGTATTGCGCATATTGAGAACCCTCTGGATTTAATACTTGAGTAATCATAGCTTGATGTTGAGGTGTTTTACTTTTATTTTCTTGAATATCAATTTTATCAGCACTCTCTTTGTCGTTTGTTGATAATGATATTCGACTGTAATTATATTTAATAAAATTTTTAAATGAATTTTATAAAATTTTGAAATAAATATTGAATAATTTTTAAATGAATTTAAAAAAAATTTTTAATAAAATTTAAAAAAAATTTTAAATAAATTTGAATAAATTTTTAAATAAATTTTCAATAAATTTAAAAAAATTTTCAATAAATTTGAAAAAATTTTCAATAAATTTGAAGAAATTTCTTAAACCAAGCATTGAATGAAAGTAAATAATAATAATAATAATAATAATAATAATAATAATAATAATAATAATAATAATAATAATAATAATAATAAATACTAACAATAATATTAATGATAAATTTACAACTATGCGCATGCACAGTCAACTAGAATTACAATATTTACATGCAACTTAGAGAATACTAAAAAATAACTACAAGTGAAAAAAGCTTCATTATTTTAAAAATAGCTTTTATTTTATAAGATGAATACAAATTTAATTTAAATTTTTACGTAAAAATTCAAAGTTATTAAATTGACCACCAAGATACAACAAGAAAAGTTCTTTTTTCAGTGCTGCTACGTTGAATTTTTTTATATCTTCAGGATCTTTTAATAATTTTGCCGTTCTAGCAGGTAAAAATACAACGTAAAGATCATCAATAATTGCAATAATACGAGGTCCAAATTTTGTATTGACAATCTTCAATTCAGAAATTCGGTATTCATTATTGACAGTCAAATCAGTAAGCTTCTTGGTTGGTAAAAAATCCTCGAGATGATTAACCTTGTTGATTGCTTCAAAATCCATGGTTCTAGAAATGATGAGACTATTATTAATAATTAATAATCCATAATTTATTAAAGACATAAACAAAGACGTAATTTGACAATTATAAAAAGCTCATTAAAATACTAACCTGTCTTTTCACATAAAATTCAACAGCACAAACACTATTTGAAGATAAACTTTATGAAGAGTATTCAATTTTTAGGTTATATTAACACAGTGATTTCTTCAGAGACACTGTGAAGCTGTGAAATCTAAGCTAGATTATATAACACTATCCCCACTACACATAGTTCACTCTGATTAGCCGAAAACAAGTTCAAACTTGTTGAACGATGTCAAAATTCCACAAAAAGTCGAAAATTCTAGGAATAAACGTAATTATAGAGCAGTATCCCCACTACTCAAGCTTCACTCGGATTGGTCGAAAACAAGTTCAAACTTGTTAAATGACGTCATCGATTCCGCAGAAAGGTCGAAAATTCTGAGAAAGTCACGTCATTCTTTTCCAACTAATAGAGGAAGGAAGGAAGGGGAGGGGGGTGTCCACGAAATTTCAAAGAAAACAAAATGGCTGACTTCCACGAAATGGCTTACTTCAACGAATAAACAAAATGGCAGCCTTCCATGAATAATCAAAATGGCCGCCTTCCACAAAAAACAAAATGGCTGACTTCCACAAAATGCCCGCCTTCCAAGAAATGACCAACATCCACGAAAAAATGTCCAACTTCCGCGAAAATGCCCGACATCCACGAAATGGCCGACTTTCCAAGAAAAATCTCCACCATCGGTCGGTAAAACAGATCCCGAGATGGCCGATAGTCGAGACAAAAACGATCGAACATATTTACCCTCGGTCAGTAACTCCTGCTCCGATGGTAACCGGTCCTGGAATCCCCCTTATATCACTACTTAAATGTGTTTCTTCACGTGGAAGAGATCTTTATCAAAAACGGGCTGATTGCTCGACTGGTTCAAATGTTATAACCCAATAACCACGACGACTTTGGAAATGACAAGTTTTTTGGTCGAAAAAATTGCTCAATTTTCGTGTACCTCTTGTAACTGGATTTTTTTGTAATTTTAGACGACGTGTTGGTCGTATATCGAAGTATTTTTCCATAAGGAAGAAATCTAGACATAAATCAAGCCGATTGGTAGACTGGTTCAAAAGTTATAAGCCGAAAACGACGACGACTTTGAAAATGACGAGTTTTTTGGAAGAAAAAATTGCTCAAATTTTGAGTACCTCTTGTAACTTTATCCTTGCGTATTTTTAGACGACTTGTAGATCCTATATAAATGTGTTTTGACAGGAGGAACAGATCTAGACGAAAAACTAGCTGATTGTTATACTGGTTTGGAAGTTATAAGCCAAAAACCACGACGACTTTGAAAATAACAAGTTTTTTGCTCGAAAAAATTGCTCAAATTTTGTGTACCTTGCGTAACTGTATTCTTGCGTATTTTTGGATGACTTTGCCCTATATCGATTTTTTTTTGATCAGGAAGAGTTCTAGTTCAAAAACAAGCCGATTGGGAGACTGGTTTAAATTTTATAAGCCAAAAACCACGACGACTTTGAAAATTACGAGTTTTTGAAACGATAAAATTGCTATAATTTTGTGTACCTCTTGTAACTCTATTTTTGCGTATTTTTGTACGACAGATTCGTCCTTTATCGAAGTATTTTTCCATAAGGCAGAGATCTAGACCAAAAACGGGCTGATTGATCGACTATTTCAAAATTTATGAGCTAAAAACCACGACGACTTTGGAAATAACGAGTTTTTTAGTCAAAAAAATTGCTCAAATTTTGTGAACCTCTTGTAACTTTATCCTCGCGTATTTTTGGACGACTTGTTGGTCCTATATAAATGGGTTTTTTTACGAGGAGGAGATCTAGTCCAAAAACAAGCTGATTAGTCTACTGGTTTGGAAGTTATAAGCCAGAAACCACGACTACTTTGGAAATAACGATTTTTCTAGTCGAAAAAATTGCTCAAATTTTGTGAACTTCTTGTAATCCTATTCTCGCGTATTGTTAGACGACTTGTTGGTCCTATATCGATGTGTTTTTTCATAAGGAAGAGATCTAGACGATAAACGGAATGATTGGTCGTCTGGTTCAAAAGTTATGAGCTAATAACCACGACGACTTTGGAAATAATGAGTTTTTTAGTCGAAAATATTGCTCAAATTTTGTGTACCTCTGGTAACGTTATTCTTGCGTATATTTGGACGACTTGTTGGTCCTTTATCGAACTATTTTTTGCTAAAGAATAGATCTAGATCGAAAACAAGATGATTGGTCAACTGGTTCGGAATTTTTGACCCAAAAACCACGACGACTTTGGAAACGACGAGTTTTTGAAACGAAAAAATTGCTTAAATTTTGTATACCTCTTGTAACAATTTTTTTGCGTATTTTTGGAAGACTTGTTGGTCCTCTATCGAAGTATTTTCTTATAAGGAAGAGATCTAGAGCTAGAACAAGCTGATTGGTAAACTGGTTTAAAAGTTATAAGCCTAAAAAGACGACGACTTCGAAAATGACGAGTTTTTTGGTTAAAAAATTCCTCAAATTTTGTGTAACTCTTGTAACTCTATTTTTGCGTATTTTTGGACGACTTGTTGGTCTAATATCGAACTATTTTTTCCTAAAGAAAAGATCTAGATTAGGAACAAGATGATTGGTCAACTGGTTCAGAATTTTGAGCCAAAAACCAGGACAACGTTGGAAACGACGTGTTTTTGAAACGAAAAAATTGCTAAAATTTTCTATACCTCTTGTAACTCTATTTTTGCGTATTTTTGGACGACAGCCTGGTCCTGTATCGAATTATTCTTCTATAAGGCAGAGATCTAGACCAAAAACGAGCTAATTAGTTGACTGGTTCAAAAGTTATAAGCCAAAAACCACGACGACATTGGAAATGACATGTTTTTTGGTCGAAGAAATTGTTCAAATTTTGTGTACCTTTTGTAACTCAATTCTTGCGTATTTTTGGATGACTTGTTGCCCTATATCGATGTTTTTTTTGGTCAGGAAGAGATCTATTTTAAAAACGAGCCGATTGGTAGACTGGTTCAAATGATATAAGACAAAATCCACAACGACTGTGGAAATAACGAGTTTTTTAGTAGAAAAAATTGCTCAAATTTTGTGTACCTCTTGTAACTTTATCCTTGCGTATTTTTGACGACTTGTTGGTCCTATATGAATGTGTTTTTTCAAAGGAGAGATCTAGACCAAAAACAAGCTGATTGGTAGACTGGTTCAAATGTTATAAGCCAAAAACCACGATGACTTTAAAAATGACGAGTATTTGGTCGAAAAAATTGCTCAAATTATGTGTAATTCTATTCTCCCGTATTTTTAGACGACTTGTTGGTTCTAAATCGATGTTTTTTTTTTATAATGAAATGATCTAGTCCAAAAACTAGCTGATTTTTCGACTGGATTAAAAATTATAAGCCAAAAACCAAGACGACTTTGAAAATAACAAGTTTTCTGCTCGAAAAATTTGCGCAAATTTTGTGTACCTTTCGTAATTTTATTCTTGCATATTTTTAGATGACTTGGTGCCCTATATCGATGTTTTTTTGATTAGGAAGAGATCTAGTTCAAAAACAAGCTGATTGGTAGACTAGTACAAATGTTATAAGGCAAAAACCACGACGACTTTGAAAACGACGAGTTTTTTGGTCGAAAAAATTGCTCAAATTTTGTATATCTTTTGTAACTCTATTTTTGCGTATTTATAGATGACTTGTTGATCCTATATCGATCTATTTTTTGATCAGGAAGAGATCTAGTTCAAAAACAAGCCTTTTGGTAGACTGGTTGAAAAGTTATATGCCAAAAACCACGACGACTTCAAAAATGACGAGTATTTGGTCGAAAAAATTGCTCAATTTTCGTGTACCTCTTGTAACTCAATTTTTGCGTATTTTTGGACGACTTTTTGGTTCCATATCGAAGTATTTTTCCATAAGTAAGAGATCTAGACGTAAAACAAGCCGATTGGTAGACTGGTTCAAAAGTTATAAACCGAAAACGACGACGACTATGAACGTAACAAGTTTTTTGGTCGAAAAAATTGCTCTGCTTTTGTGTACCTCTTGTAACTCCATTTTTGCGTATTGTTGGACGACAGGTTGGTCCTATATCGAAAAATTTTTCGATAAGGCAGAGATCTTGATCAAAAACGGGCTGATTGGATGACTGGTTTAAAAGTTATGAGCCAAAAACCACGACAAATTTGGAAATAACGAGTTTTTTAGACGAAAAAATTGGTAAAATTTTGTGTACCTCTTGTAACTTTATCTTTGCGTATTTTTGGACCACTTGTTGGTCCTATATAAACGTGTTTTTTCACGAGGAAGCCATCTAGACCAAAATCAAGCGGATTGGTCTTCAGGTTTGGGAGTTATAAGACAAAAACCACGACGAATTTGAAAATAACAAGTTTATTGGTCGAAAAAATTGCTCAAATTGTTTGTACCTTTCTTAACTCTATTCTTGCTTATTTTTGGATGACTTGTTGCCCTATATGGATGTTTTTTTTCAATCAGGAAGAGATCTAGATCGAAAACAAGCCGATTGTACGACTGGTTTGAATGTTATGAGCCAAAAACCACGACGACTTTGGAAATACCGAGTTTTTCGGACGAAATAATTGCTCAAATTTTGTGTACCTCTTGTAACTTTATCCTTGCGAATTTGTAGACGACTTGTTGGTCCTATATAAATTTGTTTCTAGACGAGAAAGAGATCTAGACCATGAGCAAGCTGATTAGTCTACTGGTTTGGAAGTTATGAGCCAAAAACCACGACGACTTTGGAAATACCGAGTTTTTTGGACGAAATAATTGCTCAAATTTTGTGTACCTCTTGTAACTTTATCCTTGCGAATTTGTAGACGACTTGTTGGTCCTATATAAATTTGTTTCTAGACGAGGAAGAGATCTAGACCATGAACAAGCTGATTGGTCTACTGGTTCAAAAGTTACAA